ACAAAATCAAAGAATCTGATTACACAAGTACTCCTCTTGCTATCTCCGCTGCCCCCACCCCCAGCTCCTCCAGCCTCCGCATTAATTCCTTTCCTAGACGGAAAAGTTCAGGAGGCAAATGTAGAGTCCCTTACTGAAGTCAACATCTAGTCTACCATGGGGGCTCCCTCGGCCAGCAGGTCCAGTGGTGACCTTGCTGGCCCTCAGGCCAGCGTCCTGAAGAACCCAGGGATCCCAAGGACCTACAGAAGAACAGGAAGAGCAGGATGCCCGCCTCTTCCTTCCCCTTACAGGGGTCACACCACCACCGCCGCCACCTGCCGTGACTATTCCTGCTCTTTGCACCAAGACCTGCTTGCCCCGCTCCACCACTCACAGCCATTTCATCAGGTCCTATTTTTGTTGTTGTTGTTTCTTTAAACCTGGGATGGCTTTCTTTTTCTTCTTCACTTTGTTTCTGGGTCACTGACGACCTCAAACTCTGAACCCCCTTTCTCCTGCTGTTACGTTTATCCCTGAAATACAGCAACAGTGTTGGTACCAGCCAGCCGCATCCATGCATTCCATGACAGTCAAGAAGTCTTTAGTGTCTATCTTTCTGTCTTAAAACCAACCAACCAACCAAAAACTCAGCACACAACCATCGGGTCCATCTCCTAAATAATTAATCCCAACTCTGCATCCAGTGCCAATACTTGTTGCATCCATTTTAGAGTTGATTAATTACCTTGGAACTTGGGCAAACTAAACTCCATGGGAAAGAACGTTTCTTCCATCAATTTGATTCTGAAAGCTACAAGTTATTGATGAATCTTCCTCTATTTACATACAAATTGGTGCAAATATGCCCATCTCTTCAAATACATTTTTTTATAAATATATAAAAGTGTCATTTTGGATGTAGCTTGAAGAGGTTGTTCATTTATTACAAAAATAAACGAATAAATACAACAATATATTGTTGCTTCCAACAGGATACTTTACAAATATATAATTTTAAAAACAAATTTGTTAAAATTATTTAAAATATTACACTCGTCGATAAAACTATCAATAGTATATACTGCATTTCATAGTAGAACCAAATGTTCTATGATGAAAAATCATTCATACAAAACAAATTATGAGCATGAAAATGAGCGAACACTGGAGGCTAGGGAGAAGCAGAGGGACTGTGTAAGATCAATAATGAGCAATTCAGCTTTGGAACAAAGAGACAGTCCTTGGCTAAGTACTTAGAAAACAGGCAGGGCAAAGGCAGCAAAGTGAGTATTTTAAATATACCTTGAATGATCTCTCACACAGACTTGCCAAGGAGCATGGTTGGGGTGAGTGAGGTGATAGGGGCTGGAACTACGGATCAAGAGCCACTGGAGACTGTGAAAGTATAAATGGGCCCAGCTTGGGATTAGCCAGGCTGATGGCACAGAACTTTGTCACTTTTCTTGGGGCTGGAGGGGGAGGAGGGGATGGGTTGAAATGGAGGAAACAAATGGGTACTTTTACGAAGCACAAGACATTTGTGCTGCAAAGGAACACAATGACCAAATTCATTAAAAAGATCTGCTGATATATAACAATATTTTCATTATCTACATGTGTAACAATATAAGCCTCCACACAAAACCTCTGTTATATCTTCCCTCATTTGTTTGTTTGTTGTTTTTTTTTTTTTTTGACTGTTGATTTCACTTTGTAAATACATTCCAAGAGGTGAATTTCAAAAATGGAGTGCAAGCTTTGGCCCACTTTATAAAGTACAAAATAATGCAACCAACTGGGCTTGCTCTCCCAGCTTCTCCCATTAAAAAGTTATCCTGCTAACTTCCAAATCAGGGCATCTTCCCAAGTAATCAGCAACGGTTGTTTTAAAATAGAAAACAGTGTCGAATCTAATGTCAGATCCTTTGTCATCAGCCACACAAGTAAAGAGATACCTTCCAAAAATTGTGTAGACCAATTCCAGCTAACCAACCAGCAAACATCCCTGTAGAAAACAAAAAAGCAGGACCCCCAACTCACATGCCAGTAATAGCCACAACACAGAAGACAACCCCCGCACAATCCCCAGCTTTCTTCGCTGGCCCCTGAAGACACTCAGGAAAAGAAGGGAGTAACAAAACTGCAACCCCCTGAACTCGGCTCCCACCCCTCCTCCAGGTGGTCAATTCACTACGCAGAGCCATTACAATAGCAAGAAAAATAGGAATTAGAAGACAGAGAAAAGTAAATAGTGGGTTCTGGCCTTCAGTTTTGTCCTTCTTTCTGTTTAATAAATATGGCCTTTTTCAGATTTCACAAATCAAAATGATTGTGATTTTTAGTACGATTTGGTGGTTAAAAGAATGCAACTCAGAACATGGCCATCTGGCTCGGCTTTGATTTATGGAAATGACACACAGGGCCTGTCTGGGAGAAATAACTGTTTCTTGATGCTCTGGTAGCTTTCCTGGGGGTTTTTACCCTGCCCCGTTGGGGGTGGGGGGAGGGAATGAAGAGAGAAGCAGGTAAAAAATGTGAGTGACAAAAAAAGTTAATTGGGGGGTAAATTCATATACAAAATCCCTGTTTTTCACCTTTCTTGCACACTTTTATTCACCAGCACAATTCCTACGGGCTGAAGCCTTCTGCACATCAAGGACTCACTTTCAGTTTTCCCACACCGAAAATTCTCATCCATTGACTGGATGGCTGTGACCACTCTTGCAGGTTTACCTACAAGCATCCTGGAAAAAAAAAAAAAAAAAAAAGGAAAATCCCCAGTCCCAGTAAGGAAGCACTCTTTGGGAAAGACCAGGAGTGCTCCGAGCTGAGCCAGTCAGCATGCAGTAGGAACCAGAACTAGGCTTTGAAAACTATATATGCTTCCATTCCAGGGAAGAAAACAAACAAAAAGCTTCATAACTTAAATGTAATTTCATGTAGTTACTCAGGGGAAGCAATTTATGTAAAATATCCTATAGATTTGGAAGCTATTTTTCACAACTATTACCTTTTAGAAGGAGAGAAAAGAGATACTGCAAATGGTTGGGGGTGGGAAGAGAGGAAAAAGAGAGGTTGAACTTGAGGGAATGGCTGGGCTAACCGTTAAAAAACAGCTGGCTCTCTCTCTCTCTCTCTCTCTCTCTCTCTCTCTCTCTCTCTTTTCTTTCTACTGGTAATGCAGTTCAATTTTGCAGTCAAGGACGCAGGTCTCACCAACTAAAGGGGTGACATTTACACAGTCTCACCTAAAACACACTGCAGATACCCACTGAAAAGATGGGAGAGAAAAGCCTGGTGAAATTTCCTGGATTAACAAGGAATGACAACCATGAGAAAATGCTAGCTGACTAGGTCATGCCTACCCTTCACTGGGTTTCCAAATGCACCCTCCTTGGAAGTCTGTGCTGTTACTTCTGGATTTCCATTAGTAAAAAATAATAATCATCATAATAAATAAAATGTCCTGAAGAACACTTTTTCTCCCCACACAGGTATTTACGCATCAGACACAGACTATTTCATTCTAACAAATTTATTTTCTCGATCAGCTCTTACGGAATCACTACTCAAATTAAATTACAATCAAATGATCACATCAAAAGATACCCTTATTACCTAACAACTGTCCATATTTTCATTTCATTTTGATTTGTGCTCGTCTGAAAAAAACACGTCATACAAGATCTGGGGAAAAATAAATTACCGTTTTGCAGCAGTTCATAAGTATTCTGAATAAAATATTAAAAGAAGTCATTTAATGAAAATATAAAGCAAATATTTTTAGATCAACAACGGATCTAACAATTCTCTATTGCCGTCTTTTGAAAAGTCTGTTTATTAAAACCTACCAAAAACACTGCTTGGAAATGGCAGCATTATATAATCACATCCATCCGCAGCACCCATTCGATCAAAGTTGGCAACGGACTGAAGGGAGTGAAGTCCAGGGAGGCACAGCGCGCCCGGTGCTGTCTTTCTACATCCAGAAATAAAAAATAAAAAATATTAATAAAAAAAATATTAGCGGTGGGATCTCCAGGCCTTATCCACTTCAGAGCAGGTGTTGGCAGCTGGGCCTCGCCTAGGCGGCCCTGCAGGCCGGGCCCTGGCTGCACACGCAGTCCACCGGCCTGTGCGCTCCACTTGGCCGCTCTGGCTTCGCGCCACTGCCTGGTTCCCGATGCTTTTATCTCCTCGGTGACTCTTCTTTTGGCTTTTTCTCTCTCTCTCTCTGTCTTGCCTCCCTTTCTCCCATTTCAGAGTTAGCCGATTTGTTCCCCCAAATGACTTGAATATGGCCAAGAAAAGCAGGGTCCTGGAGCACAGAGGTATTCCACAATTGGAACTCTGCGCGCTTCCACGGGCGCTCCGCTAAAGAAGTTTCCTAGTATCTCCGTGGCTGCAGCTGTTTTGGGAGGGAATGGAAGGAGGGGGAAACTTTTCTTCTTCTTCTTTTTCTTTTTTCCTTTTCAGGGAGGAGAGGCCGAAGCAATTGCTGTCTGCCGCTGCCGTGTAGGGCATCCCACAGCGAGAAAAGACACAAGGGTGCAGTTTTGGTGCGTGGGGCATCTCTCCCCTTCTTTGAAAACAAACAAACAAAAAAAAACATCGCCACGCTCTCCCCCTTTTTCCTCTTCCGGGTTTGTCATTTTTGCGTATTAAGCAGTCTGAGTATTCACCACGCTTTTCCAGGGGGAAAAAAATCTTTCTGGTCCCTCCTTAGTGGACTGCAAAACAAAAATAACAACAACAAACCAAACCTTTTTTCCTTGGTCTGTTTCTCCTTCTTTTTTTTTTTTTTTTTTGTCTTGGATTTGTTGTGTTTTCCACCAAGGTTGGGCAGGCCTGTCTCTGGGCGGAGGGGAGGGCGGCGGCGGGCCCCCGGGGCTCCGAGCCGTGCGACCCAGGTGCGGGGTTGGCGCGGCGGCTGCGGCGGCTGCGGCGGCGGCTGCGGAGGCGGCGGTGGCGGCGACCCTCTGCGCGCGGCGACCCTCTGCGCGCGGCGCCCCGCGCCTTCACTGCACGCTCGTCTGCAGCCCGTGGTGCGGCGGCGGCGTGTCGGCGCTCACGGCGCCCACCTGCGAGTACACGTCGTCGGGCGTCTGCTGCTGGATGCCCGGCGGCGTCATGCGCTTCTCCTTCTGGCGTCGGTTGCAGAACCAGACGCGCACCACCTCCTTCTCGAGCTGCAGGCTGTCGGCCAGGTTGGTGATCTCCTGAGCCGAGGGCTTGGGGCACTTGAGGAAGTGGCTCTCGAGCGCGCCCTTGACGCTCACCTCGATGGAGGTCCGTTTCTTGCGCTTGCGGCCCTGCGCCGCGATCTTGTCGATGCTGGTGGGGCTGCCGGTGCTCGAGTCCGCCTCCTCCAGCCACTTGTTCAGCAGCGGCTTGAGCTTGCACATGTTCTTGAAGCTCAGCTGCAGGGCCTCGAAGCGGCAGATGGTGGTCTGCGAGAACACATTGCCGTAGAGCGTGCCCAGCGCCAGCCCCACGTCGGCCTGCGTGAAGCCCAGCTTGATGCGCCGCTGCTTGAACTGCTTGGCAAACTGCTCCAGGTCGTCCGACGTCGGCGTGTCCTCGTCCGAGTGCGGGTCGTGGCTGTTGAGTCCCGGCCCCGCGCCGCCGCCGCCGCCGTGGTGCGGGGGCCCCTGCGCGTGGTGCGGGTGCGGCGGGTGCGGGTGCGCGTGGTGATGGTGGTGGTGGTGGTGATCGGCCAGCTCGGGAGTGTCCCCGCGCACCAGCCCCGGGTGCACCAGGCTCTGGGCGCCGCCGCCCGCGCCACCTCCGCCTGCGCCGCCGCCTCCTCCGGGCCCCGGCGGCGCGTTCAGCATGCCGTTCACCGTGAAGCCCCCGGGCTGCGAGTAGAGCAGGCTCTGCGGCGGCGGCGGCGGCTGCTGGCCCCCGGCCATGGACGGGAGGTGCGCGGCGGCGGCGGCGGCGGCAGCGGCTGCAGCGGCGGCGGCGGCGGCGCCCCAGCCCCCGGGGTGACCCTGGTGCGGCGGCGGCGGCGGAGGCGGGGGCCCGAGGTGCGGCGGCCCGCGGTGGTGCAGCGCGGTGCCCGCGTGCAGGTCGTCGCGCCCCGCGCCTCCCTTCACGTCGGGGCCCTGCGGCGGCGGCGGCGGCGGCTGCGGCTGCTGGGGGCTGCCGGCCATGGCCACGGCGCTGCCCGACCACGGCGAGCTGGCTTCCACGGCGGCGGCGGCGGCAGCGGCGGCGGCGGCGGCGGCGTGGGGCAGGGCCGTGACCCACTGGTGCGCGTGGCTCAGCATATGGCCTCCGTTGCTGGCGGCCATGGCCCCCTGCATGAAGTCGCTCTGCACCATCTTGACGGACGACGGGTCCCCCCGGTAGGCGCCCGAGGTCACGGCGGCGCTCCCGGGTTGCATGCCGCCGCCGCCGCCTCCCCCTGCGCCCCCGCCGCCGCCACCCCCGCCGCCCCCGCCGCCGCCACCGCCCCCGCCGCCGCCGGCCCCCGCCGCGTCCGAGTGCACAATGGAGCCGGCCGCGAGCAGGCTGTTCCCCGGCAGGTAGGGGTTAGAAGCCGCCGTGGCCATGCCGCTCCGCTCCCGCCACCCCACCGCCGCCACCACCGCCGCCGCCGCCGCAGCAGCAGCCGCGGCCGCCGCCGCCGCCGCCGCCGCGCCCCCCCGCCTCGCGCCTCCTCCTCCTCCTCCTCCGCCTCCCCCTCCTCTTCCTCGCGCTCCCCCGCCCCCGCCCGGGGCCCCCGCCGGCCCCGCCGCCGCCGCCTTCGCCGCCGCCGCCGCCTCTTCCTCCTCCTCCGCCGCCGCCTCCTGCGCCCCCGCCGCCGCCGCAGCCGCAGCAGCAGCAGCCGCCGCCGCCGCCGCCTCGGCCCGGGGCCGCAGCTGCAAGGCCGCTGGGCAGGGCGCGGGGGTCGCCGGCCGGCCTGGGTCAGCAGCAGCAGCGGCAGCAGGAGCGGCGCTCCGGGGAGAGGGGCTCGCTGCTCGGGGCGCGCTCCGTGGCCGCCCCTTTCAGAGGGGGTCGTGGCCGCCCCCCGGTCCCGGTGCGCTCGGCTCGTTCCAGCGGGGCTTTCGGGGCGGGGGGCAAAGACCTGCGCTTGGGGCGCTCTCCCGGGACGCGCCGGCTCGCTCTCCGGCTCCTCCTCCTCTTCCTCCTGCGGTCCTCGGCCGGGCGCCGAGCCTGCCCGGCCCGGGGCTCAGTCCACCTGCTACGAGAAGGTTTCACTGGAGACAACAAAGAAAGAAGCGGCTCCTTTCTTCCCAGGCCAGCTCGCCGGGGGCCGGCCACCGGCCCGCCCTTGCCCTCTCCGGCGCTCTCCTCTCCTCCTCAGCAGCGCATTTCGCTCGTTTTCCCCTCCTCCGAGTAGTCAAAAAACTTTTTTTTTGGTCTCTTGAAGGCGTGGTGACGCCGGCTGCTCGCGTGTGGGGAGATGGAGAGGCTGGCTCCTGTTCTCCCCCTCTGGTCCTCGCGTTACAAGTTTTGTTCTGTCCTAGGAAAACTTCTTGCGATGGTGCATTTCTCTCAAGTTGTTATTGCCGGAACTCTCGGTTGCCTCTGAAACCAGAATCTTTTCTCATTCTCCTCGCAACGGTCACAGTCTGATGCGACATCTTTCCTTTTGGGCAGAAATGAGGAAACAGATAGAACAAGGCAAAAAACGGAACAGGAAAAAAATGATGTCGAATCGCTCTGTTACCTTGTTGCTGGCGGTTGGGGCTGGTGTTTTATTTGTTTCCCAGTAGTTGTCTGCAGAGTGCATTGGTGAAGGTGGAGGGGTGTGTGTGCATCAAGGGGCTCCTTGGTATACAACCGACTCCAGTGGGCGCGCTGCACGGCTCGCGGGGTGCACCGGCCGTCGGCGGGCGCTGGCCGTGCCGGAGCCGAGTTGCAGAGGGAGCTCGGTCTGTGCCCTGGTTCGCTCGGGCTCTCTCTCTCTCTCCCTCTCTCTCTCTCACTTTCCCTCTCCCTCTCTCTCGGCTCGCGCGCGCGCTCTCTCTCTCCCTCTCCCTCTTGCGCGCCCGCACTCGCTCCGATCTGACAGTTCGCTCTCTGTCCCTCCCTCTCAGAGCGGGGACTGTCGAATGTTTACCCTCGGCCGCGAGCGCGCACCCACCACCACACTTTCCCAAATACAAGGAAGTCGAGCACCAGGGCCCCCGCTGATTGGCTACCCGCTGGGTGACTGGCAGCCCAGGAATGACTGGCTCGGGGCGCGAGGCCCCCCTTCCGGCCGTTCCGATTGGTTGCTTTTTAATTTAGGCAGCGCGTCGTGGAGGCTGGAAAGCTGTCGGCCTCGGGCCTCCCTCCCCCGCGCCGCGGTCCCCCTCCCCGCCGCCCCCTCCGCCACATCTTAACTCTTAGTGTCCGGCCTTAGACGTCGCCGTTCCCTGGGCGTCCCCGGGCGATCGCGCGGGGTCTGGTGGAGGTGCAGGGGGTGGGGGGCGAGAGGAGGGAGGGACGAGAGAGGGCAGAGACCGTAGGAAGAGGAAGAAGGCAGACAATCCCGAAAGATAGCATGCTACCCACCCACCTCCCCCCCACTCCCCTGCCCGCGCGGGAGATGTGCAACACCGCGCGGATGCACGGTTCGCGCTAATACCTACAGACAGCTGTGGCCCCGTTGCCTTCAAAGTTTCTTCTTGCCGTCACCAGCCAGCCCCCGTCTCAGTCTGGTCCAGGGCAGGGTTGGAAGGGGGTGGGGGCTTGCATCGCCGAGAAAGCCCGGGTCGCGCGGCCACGCTCCTTGGATAATTCCGCCACCGCACCTCGCCGCAGCTGCCGCGCGCCGGCGGCGGCCCCCCTTTGTTTAAGTTCTCGGATGCTCTGCTCCGGGAAAAGCCGCGCAGTCCGGGACGCCGGGGGTGCCCGCGCGCGAGACGCACCGCTCGCTGTCTCAGCCTCCGCCGCCGCCCGCTGCCCAGCCCGCGCCGCGCGCCCGCCCGCCCGCCCTCCTCTGGGATTCGTGCAAGTGGCGCGCTTGCCCTTGTGAGTTTGGAGGGTGCCGGGCAGAGCGGAGCTGTGCGCCGCGTTTGAAAAGCAATCTGTCGGGTCTGGCCCCCATAGGTTCATCGTAAGTGTGCGCTACTGCAGCGGTTGGAGGGATCGAGTGTGCAGCTGGAGCCGGCCCCAGGAACCGGGCTGGGCTAGTCTGGCTCGGCGCGCGCGAGCGTGTGTTTGATTGCCGCGAGGTTGTTACTCGAGGTGGGGCATTGCTCGCTCGCTATTCTTAGCCTCAGTGACACCAGTTTTGTTTTTGCTTCCCTCCCCCCTTCCCCTCTTTCCTTTATTTTCCGTCTCAGATGGGTTTGCCTGGTGGATAGGGCTGGCGGCCATGGGCATTTCATCAGTCCAGCCCGGCTGAAAGAGTTAAAGGGGACGGGAGGTTGGGTGGGGGGGGGAGGTGGCGGAGGGCGGAGAGCGCGCCGGGGAGGCGGGAGGCTCGGGGGCTGGGGGGGTACCCGGCCAAGCGGAAACGCTGCACAGAGGAACCTCTGCTAAACCAGGGGGGAATAAAGGAGAGAGAGAGAGAGAGAAAGAGAGAGAGAGAAACAAGGGCAAACTGAGCCATCCTCGGAGATCTCCAATGAACTAACCCAATTCGAACATTCAATAAATACACGGTTCCTAATGAGAGTGCCTTGTGCTTGCGCCACGCACCCCCAGCTGCGGGAGTGCCAGCCGCACCAAGGCTGCCCTTCCGCTGGCGGTCCCGAGCCCGAACGTCGGCCGAGGACGCGGGGGCGGCCGGTGTGCGCGCCCACTGCAGCGCGCACAGGCCTGCTCTGCTCGGCCGGCATTGCATTCGCTTGGCAAGCACAGTTAGGCGAACTCGGGGAAGGCCGGAGGAGCCCCGCGGCGATCTCCGGATTAACAGTGCTTGCGTGGAATGTAGGTAGGACCCGGTCCAGCTCCACGCTCGCCGGGTGACAGACGCACTCCTGGGTGGGTTTCGGCAAAGCCACCGTTGTCAGGATGCAGATCGCGATGGCTGTGGTCAGCTAACCGCCAAGAACGGCTTTCCCTCCGCGGCCGCAGCCAAGGCTCCCTTCCCTCCTGACGTATGCGTGTATGTATGGAGGAAAGATGAAACACAGATTTCATTGAATAAATCTGAGCGCTCCAGGTGCAGACGTCTGAATAGTCGGTGCCAGTACCCCGTGTTTTCCTTTCCTGCCGATTTTGCTTGGATCCGGCTCAAAAAACCGAGAGAGTCTCGTGGTTTTGTTTACACTGAATGGGGAAGGATAGGAACAGAGCCACGGGGCCGCCTTTCATTAATATACAGTGAGGATTTTGTCTAAATTACTGCTATGAATTTCACAGTACACGCTTTCAAAAGCAGTCTCAGGTGGCCCGACGCGACGCGAGAGCTCCTTTGCTACCACATCCACTTCCCTTCCTTTCTTTGCAAAGGAGGGGGTGGCTGCGCGCGCCTGTGGGAAGCCCCCCAAAACTCTGGGCTCTGGGATAACAGAAATATGCTTCTGTCCCGAGGTCGGGGGTGGGGGCCCTTCTTCCCATCCCCCCCCCAACTCCTCGCACTTCGGTTCTCGAATCTCTCCCCGGCTTCCCCCCCCCACCCCCTTTCCGCCCCACCCCATCCGTCCCCTCCCTTTGCGGAGTGTGATTGTTTTGTCTGGAAAAAAAAAAATCCAAAGTATATAACAAGGGGAGAACAGTTAGTGCTGATTTTCATTTGCATACATTTTCATATATTTTGCTGAAAATAATAGACTAGTGGAGAGCTGGGCGTAGAGGAGTCAGTGTGAAGGGAAGGCGAGGGAAGCGCGGGTCTGAGGAGTTGAGAATTGTACCTTCCCCTCGGCCGCCCCCTCCCCCAGTCACTTTATTTAAAAAAAATTTTTTTAACAAAACAAAACAAACAAAAAAACCCAGCCAAACACCTTCTTTGATTTTAAAATCTAACCCTGGAAGTTTGCTCGGTAAGTGTTTCTGTTTTCCTGCTTTTTTTTCTTTCGGTCCCCCTTCTTTTTGAGTTGATTTGTTTGTCTTCTTGCAGGTTGAGGAACTTCTGCACGGTGGCCGGGAGCAGAGAGGGCGGAGGGGGCCAACGTAGGGAGGAAGGGAGGGAAGGTGTTTGGGGTAGGGTAGGGGGAGTAAAAAAAAAAAAAAAGCCAACCCTGCTGAAATATTACATAAAAAGATGGAGTGGTTCCAAGGCCGCGCACAGCAAGGCACTTTACTTTGGGGGGAGGGAGGGGAGGAGAGGGGAGGGGAGGGGAGAGAGAAGAGTGCCATTAATTGTGATGGTTGATGGTGAGAAAAAAGGAAAGCTCTGAGATGAAGTGATTACTAAGCACGCACTATGCAAGTATCTCTTGCTTTTCGATTCTTATTTTTTTCCCCCTCAGAGAGTCAGGAGTGGAGGGGGGAGAGCCCCCCCCCCCAGCCAGTGAAGATGTGAACTCTGTGTGTACCGGTGTGGGAGGGGGGCAGCTCCTGCTGGGAGCTGTGGGGGTCCGGGGCTTGGCACGGGAGGGGCTGGAGCTGGGGAAGGAGGGAGGTGAGGCAGGAAGTCGGTGCACTCCTGGCTAAGGCGTCTGGCGGCAGATAA